ACAACAGCCGAACACGAGCAGAGAAAGTCCAAGCACAAGCTGAATACATAGAAGCAAACAAACAAGTGAAGAGGAGCATTAGAGCCGACAAGAAGAAATACGTGGAAGAACTAGCAACGACGGCAGAAAAAGCTGCTAGAGAAGGAAATATGAAACAGCTTCATGATACAACGAAGAAACTAGCAGGGAAATACAGTAAACCAGAGAGGCCGGTCAAAGACAAAGAAGGCAAGCCAATCACCGAAATTCAACAACAGCGTAACAGATGGGTAGAATACTTCGAGGAACTCCTGAATAGGCCGGCTCCAATGAATCCACCGGACATCGAAGCAGCACACATAGATCTTCCTATAGATGTCAACCCACCAACGACGGAAGAAATTAGAATGGCCGTCAGACAAATCAAGAACGGGAAAGCAGCAGGACCCGACAACATACCAGCTGAAGCACTGAAATCAGACATCGAAGCAACCACAAGCATGCTTTATCTTCTATTCAAAAAGATTTGGGAGGAGGAACAAGTGCCGATGGACTGGAAAGAAGGACACCTCGTCAAGATTCCAAAGAAAGGAGATCTGAGCAAATGTGAAAACTACAGAGGCATTACACTACTGTCAATACCAGGGAAAGTCTTCAACAGAGTGTTGCTGAACCGGATGAAGGATGCAGTAGACGCCCAACTTCGAGATCAACAAGCTGGATTCCGTAAGGATCGGTCGTGCACAGACCAAATTGCAACACTACGGATCATCGTCGAACAATCAGTTGAGTGGAACTCATCACTATACATCAACTTCATTGATTATGAAAAGGCATTCGACAGTGTAGATAGGAGGACATTATGGAAACTTCTTCGACACTACGGAGTTCCTGAGAAGATTGTCAATATTATCCGGAACTCATACGACGGACTACAGTGCAAAGTAGTGCATGGAGGACAGCTGACAGATGCATTCCAAGTAAGGACCGGAGTCAGACAAGGCTGTTTACTCTCTCCCTTCCTCTTTCTTCTGGTGGTCGACTGGATTATGAAGACCTCGACATCTGAAGGAAAACACGGAATACAATGGACATCTCAGAATCAATTAGACGATTTGGACTTCGCAGATGACCTAGCCCTCCTATCACGTACACACGAACAGATGCAGATGAAGACAGCCAGTGTAGCAGCAGTCTCTGCATCAGTAGGCCTCAGCATACACAAAGGGAAAACCAAGGTCCTCAAATTCAAAGCGGAAAACAGCAATCCAATCACTCTTGATGGCGAAACTCTGGAAGATATGGAATCCTTCACATACTTGGGAAGCATCATCGATGAACAAAAAGGATCAGATGCAGACGTAAAGGCGAGGATTGGCAAAGCAAGGGTCGCATTCCTACAATTGAAGAACATATGGAACTCAAAACAACTTTCAACCAATATCAAAGTGAGAATCTTCAATACGAACGTCAAGGCAGTTCTACTGTATGGAGCTGAAACTTGGAGAACTACAACAACCACAATCAAGAAAGTACAAGTATTTATAAATAGCTGCCTACGCAAGATACTCAACATCCATTGGCCGGATACCATCAGCAATAGCCTTCTGTGGGAGAGAACAAACCAACTTCCAGCTGAAGAAGAAATTAGGAAAAGACGATGGAAATGGATAGGACATACATTACGCAAATCGTCAAACTGCATCACGAGGCAAGCTCTAACTTGGAATCCTGAAGGGAAGCGGAAAAGAGGAAGGCCAAAGAACACATTGCGTCGGATTATAGAAGCAGATATGAAAACGATGAATTACAACTGGACGTAGCTAGAAAAGATTGCTCAGGACAGGGTTGGATGGAGAATGCTGATGGGCGGCCTATGCTCCTTCACGAGGAGTAACAGGTGTAAGTAAGTAAGTAATAATAATAATAATGTGAATCGTTTAACTGTTAATCGAAGCAAGAATATTTTCCGTAAGTATCGTCATTTCATTCTGTTTGTGTGAGGGCTGTGATACTGCCCGGGTGCCCAAACCGAAGCAGGTGGTTTACTTAAGGGGCCACACTCCGAGCCTTTGACCTAAAGGTATGATCCACAAGACGGTGGAGCATCGTAAGGAGATGCAGTCCCATGGTAGGCGGTGACCGAAAATTGGTTCAAACGCCATTTGTTCTCACAGGATACTGGAGCCCATGTGCACCAGTGATTTGGTTTGGGATCCGGTTAAAGCGCCGAACATTCTCTTTTGGTCCTCTCATTTTCATAAACAACACCCGCGCCACGAGAAAGCAGTGAGTAGCACTTCCCTGGCAAAGGCTGTATACGCGTTGCCATGTGAGATCATTTCGAGAGCGAGGGTGGGCCTACGACATTCTTGGCCATACTAGGGCAATTTAGTAGTATTACTATTTGTATTAGTATTACTATTATTAGTAACGAATGATTTGTGGAGAATATTCAACTTGTAGTTCTCATGACCAACTGATTTTATGGTTAGACAATTGCTAAAAGCCAGATGAAGGACGATCTCCAAAAAGCTGTGATAAGAAGTCATATCTGGTGATGTTTAACAGAACCAGATAAAATGTATTTAAGTGAGATCATGAACTAGTCAGTGTCAGACTACAACCGAAAGCATTGGACGGCTGTTTCCTCCTAGAATGGGACTCTTCAGAAAAGAGCATCCACGATCTAGCACGCGGGTCTCGAGCCCAGGACCTTTGGTTCTGTGCGCGAACACCTAAACTCCAAGATTGATTGGCTTATGATTTCAATTAAAAACTCAAAAATCCCCACAATCCTATACTGACGAAAGATATTTATCATCAATGATAATGTATGATGATTGTACAAGGTCATAAATTAGTTGAAATCGGAGAAGCGAACCAATATATATATATATATATATATATATATATATATTCAAATTGGCACACCAAAATAATCATGGCAAGATGAAAATATGTGATAAACCAATAGCAATGGACGGCAGCGAAACATGGCCTTTAAGAGTAGAAGACACACGTAAGCTACTAGTATTTGACCACAGATGACTTAGAAATATTGCTGGCGTCTGCTGGGATCACCGGTTAAGTAATAGTGAGGTTAGACGCAGGGTATTAGGGAAGGATGGTTAATCAGTTGATGAGTTTGTTAATCTTCATCGACTGAGATGGTTGGGTCACGTGTTACGTATGTCCGAACACCGATTACCACGACGTGCAATGCTAACCGGTGTTGGAGATGGTTGGAAGAAGGTTAGGGGTGGCCAAACCAAAACGTGGAATCCTTATTGCAATCTTTCTTTTATATATTACCACCTCTGAATTAACCACTTATATGAATCCGGTGTCCATCTTGTCGTGTTAATGAGGTATGGCAACTTGGACCGATGCATATATGTGCCTGGTCCTATATTGTAGCTGACTGACTGACTGAGTGGACGTAGTAAGCACATCAATGGTAGTAGAAAACATTGGGCATACAATGTAGTTAAAAAAGAAAGAATGAATTTGTAGGAGTAAAAAATTTAAGATAGCTTTAAAGCTTTATAGCTAAGGGAAGACAACTAATTAATATATCTCTACTATTGTGACGGATTCCGAATCATATTATCCAATCTCCTTGACTATTGGTTATGATAATCGTGCAAACATAAACCAGTCTACATCCACCATGTCAGATGGTTGGAGGAAGTCAATGAGAAGATTTGTTCAACTTGTTTCATGTCAGTTAGCATTAAATGGCAAGATATGACATATATACTCTTGAGGTAACCCAAGTTTCCCAGACGATTTTAATCCACATCACTCAATATCACAGTCAGAAATATTACAATTTAGTTATCCAACATGTAACTGACCTCCACACTTATGTTAAGAACAAACTTTAAAATGTTCTAACCACAAATTTACGCTAAACAACAAATAATTAAGCAGAACAAAAAGGTTATGTCGATACGTTAAGCATGATCAAAATAATATCCTGATTATGAAACCAATTGAAAATGTAGTGAAATGCATTCAATAAACAACACAGATCACTCCTTGTCCTCTTGCTTAGCTTTCGTCGATAAAAATATTGGTATAATGGATGAAGTTATAACAACTGTGATGAAATTTCAGCTAGTTACTAGTTAATCAGAAAGCAGCTTTTGTAAATGGATAAGTTATGGTAAAGAAAACAATAGCACTGGAAAGTGTAGACGAATTCTGTGCATTTGATAAATCTATTCAAATTATTATACTAGCTACTCTGTTAATTGAAAAATCAAAGTCATATACATTCGTCCTTGTGGATATGAATTATCTATCTTTTGAAATACTACAAATGACTCAAAAACCTCTAAATTATTTATGATTAGGGTAAGATATTTATGGTTAGGACTGGCAGTCACGAGTTTGCATCAGATATAATACAAAACATTTCCTCGAAACAAATATGGATGACAGAATTCCACTCATCCAAGAGGCCATAAAATATAGTGTCAATAAGTGAATGTTTGTTACAGCATTAAAGGCTTAAGATTAGAATGTAAGGATAGTTTTAGTTTACTCGTTATTTACAATATACAGAGGAAAAACTAATTATATAATACATGTAACACTGTGGCAAAAATTAATATTTCGTTATGAGTTTGAACGAATACAAAAGTATGTCTGATATTAGTGATACGTGATAAATGAATTTTGCACAAAAACCCACAAGTCATGTTCTCGATTTTGACTGGCTTTTCCCCATACTATATTTATAGTTTGAGCTATGTTGATGGGCGAAGGCTACATGGTTGAGATAAGAGTGACTAACGTGACTAATGGTTGGAGACATTTTTAACATGGCTCAGAATCAGTGGAGACAGTGATGGGATTTATCTTGATAATTTCATCTTGTTGCGTTCATATGATCTGGTGAGCTGAACCGATAGACGCTTGTGCTAAGTTCTACGTTGCTTGTGATACTTTTTTCGCAACAATTATGATTTGAATGAATAAAACGAATGAAATTTGAAAACCAGATAACTCACTCATATTTGTGGTTGATTTAGTCAAACCTATATCTTTTATCCGTAATATAAATGTAGCCAAATCGCCTTTATTCAGTAGACGATCATGATTATTTTCACGATAACCACTTTCACCGTAGCTGCTAAATGAATCATCATCATCAATCGAATATTTGGTTGCTGCGATTTTGGGCGCCGGTAAATAGAACTGATGGGGTAAATGATTTGATTTGGGATTACACATTGCCTCAGCTAAGTGACTTCTCCATTCTGAACCACTTTTTACTATTTCATTATAATCTAAGCTGATTAAATAACCACCAATCTGTTCAGGATCCACATGATTTTCATTAGATATACGTGTTACAAGAGCTATTTAGAAAAAGATACAAAATTTGTAAAATGGAAATATAATGATAATAATAAAACTAATAGTCCGACAGTCAACCAGTAACAGTCAATTTAAAGCCTGGTACAAACGCTCGTTGGCCCTAGTTACCATATCACATTGACAAATCGAGACGAATAGCAAAGGAGTGGAAACAACTTTAGTAGTAATGATAATGAAAATACTAAACACTGAAACCATGGTACCAAAAAGCAGAATGAATGGCTAATGTACGACGGTATAATGAAACTACAGATTTAGAGGAGGACAGAGTGTGAATATATATATAAGCCAATAACTTGGTGGACTGATACCATATTTTAGTTTGGGTACCCCTAACTTTCATGCAAGTTATTCCTAAACGAGCTAACACTTTCCACCAAGATAGATGAACGTTAGGCACACGTAAAAAATGTCTCGACCGCCTCGATTGATGAACTTATGTCCGAAGATATTAAATAGTAATAGTGAGAAAACGTAAACTTAGAAATAAAACTCATGGTTCAAATAATAAATGAGTTCCGAGCTCAAACATCTCAATAGTAACATTTCAAACTATTAAAATCAATAACTCAGATTTCAATCTACCAGAAAGTATCAGTTCTATCAAAAGTGCAAGTATGTTCTGATAACAAGTACTAACCAGAACACAAACTAGTTCAAGAAGAGTCCTTTTTTGATGACTAATTTCAAATACTTAGTATGAAGAATCAATGTTAAACTTATAATGTTAATATCAGAAGGGGTTTCGAAATCATGAGCCAATTGAAGCTAGACCACCATGGAAAACCTGGAAGCACTGGACGGCCGTTTCGTTCTATTGTGAGACTCCTCAGTAGTACGCATCCACAGCCCGCCTCGTAGGACTCGAACCCAAGAACTATCACTCTTGCGCCAGGCGCTTAACCAACTAGACCACTGAGCCGACATCCAACGGTGTTAATGTCTAACTTCAACTAATCCACGAAATTGAGCGACACATTCACCATTGTCATCAGTGAGTTACTATCTCACAAGTGACTCGGTTGAACTCCACTGGTCACTGGTTTTCACTAGAACTCCAGGAATATGTCTTGAAGCCAGTCACTAGTGAGCATATGTTGATTACTGTCAGAAGGGGTTTTGTGGAAACTGTAGTAATTTCAACGACTGTCCAGTGCTTCCAGGTTTTCCATGGTGGTCTAGCTTCAATTGACTCATGGTCTCAATTGTTATAATGTTAAAATTATAAAATAAGAAGCAACGAATTCAAAACAATCGCTATCATTTATTACATGTGAATGACTTCTCTTCATATAAAAAGTGTAATAAAACCACATGATAATGATTGAGAATAATTGGCACAGCTATTTAGAAACTACAGTTTTAATTAATATTCTATGCAATTTTTTTTAAAAAGAGAAAACTATTTATAAACGATGTGCATTGCGAGATGTGACATTCGTTTATGAAAATAAATTTCTGTTTATGACAGTCTATGACGTTACATTAATCTTAATAAATACGTTTGACAGTACAGTTGTAAACAAGAATGTTCTGCAATTTTTTTATTCCAATGGTAATGAATGCTGAAAAAGCTGGAATCTAATGCACAAACTACTCACTACTATCAAGATAAACCACTTTGATCTGTTCAATAAGCACACGAAACGGGATGCTGATACGCTTATCAAAATCGTTCTGAACTTCCAGGTAAGTTCAAACATGTTGATTATTAGATAGTTACTAACAAAATGCACTGGAAGATTTTCGTACGATATTGTGAATTGATTAAAGTCAAATATACAAACCACTAGACGTCAGTCTCCAAATGCCATGGTACGACAGTGTGAGGAGAGTCCACACTCCCTCTCAAAATTCACATGGCCACGTGTATATAGCCTTTGCCAGGGAAGTCCTACTCGCTGCTTTCTCGTGACGGGGGTGTTGTTTACGAAATTGAGAGGACCAAAAGAGAATTCCTGTCGCTTTAACCGGATCCCAAACCAAATAAGAGGTGCACATGGGCTCCAGTATCCTGAAGGAACAAATGGTGTATGAACCAATTTTCGGTCACCGGCTACCATGGGACCACATCTCTTTACGATGCTCCACTGCCTTGTGGATCAGACCTTCAGGTCAAAGGTTCTGGTTGTGGCCTTCTAAGTAAACCACCTCCTGCGGTTTGGGCACCCGGGCAGTATCACAGCCCTCACACAAATTAAATGACATTTGTGTGGCGCATATATATCTGGTTCCCCCCTTGTACCAATATTTATGTGTTCAATTAAAAAAGGCTTGACATTCGCGATCAAAACTGAAGGTCCTGAGTTTGCTAACTTGTGGTAAGATTGGGAATTTTCACTGCTAGGAAGTCCCACACTGAGACGAAACGACTGTCCAGTATCTCTTGGTTTTCGTTTGTCGGTTAATTAAGATCTTTTCATGATGTCAACCATGATATTCTATATAAATTGGCATCCATCCTTAGTTTATATCTAAAACGTTTCACTCCGTGAAATCAATGAATAGTTTGTTTTCTCTTAAATTCAGCTATCCAAAAATATTAAATTTAATTTAGACCAATATATTTAGTTAACATATTCCGAATTGGCAATTATTATCGTAATCAAAATGGCATAGAGACGTTCGTGTTTCAATGTACTATGAGCATAATTTGATGAACACAAATTTTACTTAAAAAACAAGTCCACTATTCTACTGACAATCTATAACCAAATTCACAATTAAATTCTCAATAATGAACAAGTGAACTCATTTATGAAGTACACATTTATGAACTGAACTGTGAGCTACAATAATTTAATAGGATAAGGTTTGTGATACTACTTAGTGGTCTTTTCTAAAATTATTTAAACATAGATGGAGTTTGACGATGTATTCTATTCTTAGTGAATGAGAGCGAAAGTTTTCAATTACTACAAACCTCATGAGTCAGTGATTTAATAAATTCCTTTTATTTGTATTGTAAAGCTACCTCTATAGTTAACTATATAAATATAGTGTTTATGACAAAACCATGAAACGTGCATTTTCAAGTGGATCTTAGTTGATACTACATCTCTATACTATCGATGTTATTTCCTCAATAATCATACACAGTCCTGTAGTTGGAAAAGAGAATGTTTTAAGTAATCATGGGCAATTGGATTAAATTCACATAGCTTTTGAAAACGTACAATAGTTACCATATGATTACAACTAAAGTGATACATCACATGAAGATATTGAGTTTTAACAAACTAGTTTACGGAAATGAAATATCTAAAACAAATCAAACTGAAAATCTTTTTGTGAATGACTGAATTGGTTGTAATAAATCTCTTTTTACTGATGTGGAATTAATTATTGGAGAGGTTGATTAAGGAAAGCAACAATAGATAATCAACCCCTTGATGGTTGATTTGAACAAAAACTCTAAATACATTTTCTAACAATCAGTTATTTTATTTGGGTATTACATCAAAAAAGGTAAATAGCTCAGTACATAAACATATGTCAATAAGTTGAGGATATCTATATAATACAAAGGCATTATAAGATAATTATCGTTAGTGACCAGTTAATAATACATGAATATATAAATGTTTCAGAAGAGGTTTAGTGGATATTATAGCAATTTTAATGGTTGAAATCATGAGTCAATTGAAGCTAGACCACCATAGAAAACCTGAAAGCATTGGACGACCGTTTCGACCCATTGTGCAACTCCTTAGCAGTGTGTATTTAACCATTTAATTAAAGTTATTTTACAGTTATGAAGGGATACAACAACCAAACTATTACAAACTATTTATCTCTCTAAGCAACTAAACAAATGAAAATTTAAGGTGTCCCAATAAATATATGTACTGTAAAATGTAAACAAATCATTAATATTTAACGTCACATATCTCAAATATTCAGATTTTTATTCACAAACGTATCATAAATCAACACACACACAGTGAACAAAATAACTTGATTTAAAGAAAGAAATGTGATTTTCAAAATTTGGTTATTTTTGCAACATAAATATATCACACTTTATTGGTTGAAGCTAAAACACTGCTTAGTGGTGGAAATAAAAGACAGATGCATATAAATATAAGTAGTTAGGAATAAGTGATTGTAGCTAAGCCACGTTGAATCCCACGTAAATCAGTACAAACCAAGCTTAATTCAAATAATCAAGACAAATTTTCTCTTTATCCCCTCCATGTCGTTCATGATTATTCCATGGGAGATGACATTGCTTATTGGAGAGCTAGTGTAACCAAGTATAAGTACAACATCAGATAATTAAACGAATCTCGGTTTACAAAAAGTTGACAGAACCGAGATCTAGTATACTTGCTAGTAATAATTACATAAACGATGGTGCTCGAAGTCAGTTCGTCAGTAACAACGTAGAACTTCGTACGTACGTACATCAGTTCGAGTTGCCACACCACATTAGCACAAAGATGCAGTTGTCGACTCAAATCCGGTAGTGGAAACAATAGGGCTTGAAGATGTTATTCAAGGAGTACAATACAGTGAAATAAATTTGAAAAGAAAATAAGAGTCATGAAGAATCCAGAAGACTAGAATTTGGTAGAACACAAAGAATGGATGCATCTCCGCCATCGCAAACGATTTTGAGCCATGTCATTCAGGGTCTCTAACCATCGGTTGTTATCATCTCACGGTCCCCAACCAGGTAGTCTACACTTATTAACACGACTCAGTCCACTTGTCAGTGACTTCATGGATTTGTGCCATGTTTCACTTTGGCTGCCACTAGCTTTCTTCCAATCTACTCCTACACCATTGAACATCGCAAGTCGAAGCAGTCGGTGGTTGGGCATACGTAACACGTGTCCCAGCCATCTCAACTGATGAATTTTCACTACTTCATCAATTGACTTACCATCCTTATCCAGTTTCCGTTTCCTAACAACTGCGTTACGTACTCGATGGTCCCAGGATATACGAGAAATGTTTCGAAGACATCTATGATCAA